GTTTTTCATCCCTTTCCCTTTGAATCCCCGCTGTAATCCCATTGGGAAGTCTTATTTCATCATCAGGAAAGCATTTTTTACACCCATGCCAACAACACCCATTGACCTCGATAACCAATTTCTTTTCTTCAACCCACCCATCTACCCTATAATTCCCAAACCTCTTTTCCCCTTCTTTAGAATAAGCATTACGTATTTTCACATTGTGTTCCTCAGCGTACCAGGTGAGAAATCGAAGAGCAAGCAAACTCTGGTTGTCTGCGTTGTCATAGCCCTTCTCTGGGACAATTCCAAGGTGTTGAGCTTGTAGATGATTTGTTCTAAAGTGTTTCATGCAAGCGCTGGCGATTGTCATTGCTTCCCTCAGCACATCCAATCCATTTGAAACTTCCAAGAATTCGCGCCGAAATGCCACCAGTGCAGCCATAAGAATTTCCACATCATTGGTACAATATGATGCCAAGGATTCATCCAGATTGAAAGGCTCATCCTTGTGTTCTTTATACCATTTATCAAATTGAACTCTCTTCTCGGGCATCATACCATCAGCCAGATAGTCATCCTTGACCGGGAAAATTTCCTTACCATAATTTTCCGGCCTATTTACCATGTGTGGAAAGAAAGGTTTGTCCTCTACACTAAGTGCAAAGGCAGGGACCAAGGAAGCAAGGGACATGGGCATTAAATTAAATGTGTTCCTAAAAATTACCCAATTCTTTTTACCAACTTTTACCTTCATTTCATATAACTTATTACCTTTTTTAATCATGTCTGGGGTCAGCCCTCTAAGGAACAATTCCTTAAAAACTAATACCATATCAAATCTACCCCCAAAGTGCGAGAAGGCAACTGTATCTGTCACGGAAGAATCGATAATCCATGACACAAACTCTTCTAAGGGATACTCTGTGACATTTTGAAGGTCAACGGGTGTGTTTTGGAAAGGTCTCGTTGAAAAGGTTAAAGTCCTATGTTCCCCACAAACGCTACAATCAGGGTTAGGTCCGTTATTGATACACCCGGGACAATTTACCTTTACCCCTATAAAGTTAACATCGTGAATTTTACCTTTTTCTCCATCCCTATATTGCATGGTTTCAAAATCAAAGGCGATAATTCGGTACGCCTTTAGGGGTTTAATGACAAGGGGTTTAATGTAACAGCCGCGTTTGGGGTCGTGATAACTACCGCACGTAGTGCAATAGCGTTCGGAGCATACATGACCCTCCCTACCATTCTTATTATTTACATTAACATCCCAGATAACCCCACATTTTTCACATTTTTTGGAGGAACTACAGAAATTTGAGGTGATATGATGGGCAAAACAATTCTCATTCTTAAAGTCTTTCCCACACCCATTACAACGTTTAAAGAAATCATCGATATCCTTACAAGGAAACCCGGGGCCAACTCTTGAACAGTTAGGACATCTAGATTTACAAGAAATTGAATGATTTGATTTCCTATTATAAACACTTTCACAGGATAGGCAATAGAGTTCGCCAAAAAGATCGCTAGCCCTACGTACCCCGTCAAAGTGTTCCTTATTATAAAACAAAATTATAGGTATATTAAAATTATCGGGGCCATATTTATAAATAGGTTTTTCCCCCAAATCCCCAAAAATAAAAACTTTAAACCATCCTTTATTCAGTAAATTCCAATATTCAACCACAGAGGGAATCCATTCTTCTGCATCGTAGCTGTCCTGGTCAAGAGGTGCGCCAACACTTTCCATAAGATCCATTGAGTCTTTCTTGAATTGATTAGTCATCCCTCTACGGCTATGCATGTAGTCGTAAAATTTCCATTTGGGCCAGAGACATGTTGCATAAATAAATGTAGCTACCAAGGAATAGAAAAGACAATAGTTGTCGTCGTTGCGAATTTTAATTAGTGATTTGTCGTTTACTTTAAGTTGTTTTGATGATGAATTTCTTCCACGTCCGTGCACTTTACGGGGAGTGTTAATTCGTTGAATAGTGGATACCGATACTAGAAAAGGTGCCCCCCATAACATACCATTATCTTGTTTCTTACTTTGGGCAACCTTGAGGAATTGATTCAAGATTGAATCAATCGTGTTTGAGGTGATCTGACGAACCGGAATCCAGACGTCAGAGTCTAGGTTCTGACTAGATATTATACACCCTAGTTGGTCAGCTTCAACCCCCCATTGTCGACTCTCTTCCAGAGCCTCGTCAATGGTATTTTGGAAGATCCCTTCTAGAAGGGATTCAGGGTCATTGGGGAGGTCATAAATTAGGAACCTAGTGGAAACTTTGGACGAATTAAATTTTCGGTTAAACTTGGTCTCATGACCAAGCTTCTTTACATGGGGGTTATCAGTTTGGGAACCTAATAGATTAGAAATGGAAAAATTCTTAAATTTTTTGGGTGGAGGAGGAAACATTTTTAAAAAGAGTAAAAGAAGTTTTGTTTTGTCTCGAAGAAGCTGGTGTTGAACAGTAGAATGATTTTTCCAGTTAAAATCAATCTATTTTTATACTTCCGTTCTAGCTCCTCCTATTAAAAGGATTTTCAAAATTTAACAGTTGGATTTTTTAAGAAATTTCCTAACAACGGATTAAAATTTTTAATCTAGGTTAAAATTTTTAATAATAACCTTGAAAAATTGACCTAAATTTAGAAATTTTATAAAGTTTTATTTAAGAGGGGGTAATCTAGTGTCGGAGTTGACAAACGAGAGATAAAACAAGTAGACAGCAATGTAGGCGTTGGTGATAGATTGGAGCAGACGAAGGAAATCAGCACAATATTTTAATATTTTTCCCTATTTTTATCTCTATTTATTCTCAATTTTTATTACTTCACCTTTTTCCTTTATTTCTATTCAAACTTTTATTTTCACTATTTAATCCCTTTATTTATTTTTCTATCTTAAAAATTTTATTCATTAAAATTTTTAATTTCTTTTGTCACAAAAGAAATATTTAGGTTAGGCTGACCGGAATTGAAAAGAAAGTTGAAATTTTTTAAGAAAAGGGAAATTTTTTAAGATGACCCAGAACTTTTAAAAATTCAAAAGAAAAGATTTAAAAATTGAAAGAAAAAGGAAAAATTTTTAAGATGACCTTAATATTTTTAAAAAATTTTAAGAAAATACAAAAGAAAAAGGAAAAGTTTTTAAGTTGACCTACAAATTTACAAAAGAAAATTTTAAAAAATAAAGATGTTCGCACACTGCGCGAACAAAAATACAAAAGGAAAATTTAAAAAAATTCCGAAGAAAGGAAAAGTTTTTAATCTGACCTACAAATTTTTAAAAAGAAAACTACACGCACGCTGCGCGAAAAAATACAACAGAAGAAATCAAAAGAAAATTTCTGAAAAGGAAAAAAGGAAATAAATATTAAAAATTTTTGGGGGAAAGGGATCTAAACCTTATGATCTTACGGGTCCCTGAATTGGTACCGGATGTCCTAATTAGTGTACTAATTACATGCTTTTAATTAGGGACTAATTACATGGAAATAAGGGTAATTACATGGAACACTTTTTCTTATATCAGTTATCACTGATAAAACCCATTGGGTTGATACAGGATGTCCCTAAACCTTTAGGGTGGGCTTAATTAATTGGTTAATTACATGGAGCTAATTAGGGATTAATTACATATTCTTATATCAGTTATCTGTGATAAGACCCCTTGTGATGGTATGAGATGCCCCTAAACCTTTAGGTTGACTTTAATTAGTTGACTAATTACATGGAATTAATTAGGGATTAATGTTGCGGACCCCTCTGCCCCTGACGACTCGGGGGTTGGACTAACTACTATTCACATTGTTGGTTAGTTATTTGGCTATTATTTTCGTTGTTTGCTAGACAATTCTTAAATTTAATTAATTAAATGGCCAGGCATTCTATTTTTCAATTATTATACAAAGTGCTATCTTACTAGAGATGGAAATCCAACTGCGGACCCGTAGAATAAATTGATGGTTAAATCGGTCTAAGAATTAATGTGAAAACCCTATGTTCGAAGTTAAAATCTATAGCCTTAATTCTGTAGAATATTAAACGATTATGGAGTTAAATAGCTACAATCAAAGGTTCTTCCACATCCCTCTGGCCCTCTTATTCTAAGTAATCAAAAGAATGGAACGGTAAAGCTAAAGAAATACATAAATTCCTCATTTCTCCTTCCTTTTGTAATGAATTTTGTTTTTAATAATTTTTTAAATTTATTTTAATTTGCCTGTTTTCCTTCTTCTGAACGATATAATAACGCTCTAAAAATTCTAATAGCTTCATAAACAATTGAAATAATTAAAACAAACAAAAGAGAGATTATATAGGCTAAAAATAAGTTTTTTCATTCAAAATTATTTTAGTCTAACCGGTTAAATTGTTTGGAAGTATTCCTTTAAATAATAAATATTCATTCTCTCGAAAATGAAAATACATTTGCATCATCGGCATCATTTTTTAAAAATTATTTAAAAAAAGGGAAATTTTTAAAAAGAATTAAAATTTCCATTAAATATTTAAAGAGTAAGTAAACTTTAGTTAAATTAAAAATATTTTTTATTAATTAAAAGTTTAAAAATTTATGATTAATAAATTTAGAAAAGAAAAAATGTTTTGAATATCCACAAAAGGTTAATGTAAATTAATTTCTAAAATATACCGTAAATACTCGAATTGAAGACCTTGGCTTATATTTTTCAATTGGTATCCTCAGATGAGCTTAGTCGGCTTCTACAAGAGGTGGGCTTCAATTAAAGTATTTACGGTATCTATTTATAAATATTTAATAAGCCTTCTTAGTATTTTAATAGGTTTGGGCAGGAAATTTAGAATGGAATAAAGGAGTACAAGGATTTTTGCCTCACAAGGATTAGTATCTCATTTAATGCTATTTTGTATACCATTTTAGAATCTCCAAAAGAATGTTATATTAAATGAATATTAATTTTCAGATATTTAAATTTAATTAATTTAAATACCTAAAAATTAAAAAAATCTCTTTTTTAATGAATTTCAGGGTTCATTTGTCCATTTCCATTTAAATTATTTATTATAGGTTTACGCCTTCCAAATAACCAAAAACCTGTAGCTGTTCCCAAACAAATAGCTAAAAGCATCCAAACAGAGAAAGTCATAACAGCAAGCATTAATATATATGATATTAATAATTGTAGACTAAATAATGCTGTTTGACATAAATGGGCAGAACTTAGAAGTGAATCGACATAACGACGACTTGAAAATTAAATTTAAAAAAATTGGCTTTAAAAAAGAGAAGAATGTTTAATTAGACATTTTTGGGATCTCAATTAACTCTATGGGAATAATCTATGGGATTTTCGACAACTGGGATTTTTAAGTATCAAATTAACCTAAATATAGATTAGGTTGGTAAAATTAAGTTAGCCAATGGATGGGAGGACTGTCTAAACTTTATCCCCCATTTAAGGTACACTAATTAATTGATGCTATTTTTTGCCGAAAGAATCAGGGCTATGCAGCAAAATTTTCGAGAGCCATGCCTAACGACAGTTTTCAAATTCTTAAAAAACGCCAAACACAAAATGCCAAAAATGGCTAAAAAATGCCAAAACACCGCGTTGCTCGGTCATGTCAAAAATGTATCTTATAATGGAATATGACTGTAAAACAAAATATCCTTAAGGAGTGAACAAGCCCCCTAGTTTTTTGGACTTTTCCAGCATAAACCAAGAATGCCAAAATCCAGTCCTCATAAATAAAATAAATCCCTACTTTGGACCATTTATTTTTTCTTTTCTTTGTTCCAATATTAAACGAAGCCATTTTAGAAACTCGAAAAAGAAGGCAGTTAAATAAAGGCCTATACATGCACCAAACATTCCTTTAAAATTTTTATAAATAATTTTTTGAAATTATTAAAAAGATCAAGTTCAAAACTATAGGTTTAATATTGATCAAAAAGTGTTGATACAGTAAAGAAAGTATTCTCAAAATTTACCTAATGCCGTGTTAATCGTCCAGCATGATAAAAGTAAAGTATCATTTAAATCTGTGTGGAAATACATCCACATTTTATGATGCATTGTGTTATTATTCATTTTTTTAATTAAATTTTAAATATTTATTTTATCAGAAAATAAGGAAACAATCGATTATTTTGTGAATATATTTTTATTTTAATGGTCTGTTGCTATATTTTATACATTAACACAATTATATAAGAAAATTGATAAGGAAAAAATAGTCATTAAACAAATAATTTATTTTATTAATTATTTGTCTGTTCTGCTTATCTTTTTAATTAATTAAAAGTAAATTTATAAAATTCTCGATTTCGAGAATCTGGATGCCCGGCCCAAAAAACGTCGGGAATTCCAGAATTTCGGAAATAGGGACGGCAGGGTATTTTAATCCAATAATTCTCCAGCCTTAGGGGTGTTTATACATATATGAAGCTAATTACTCAAAACATCTGGATCAGGGATGAGCGCAAGAGACAATCTCAAAAAACGCAAAACGCAACGCAAGGCCAAAATTTAACGCAAATAACGCAAAACGCAAAACGCAAGAGCGCAAAATTGGGAAAAAAATTTTTAATCAAGTATTAGCCATTTTTTCAGTTAAAATTGAAGTAATACTATAAGTCGGGGAGTCCTACTCGATTTTATGATACATGTAAGTTGGATGGGTAGTTATTTAAAGTGATACAGGGGATATAAGGGTTTATGGAGGATATCAAAGGATTTAGAGGACTCAAGGGCGTGTGATCACATGTGATTACCGACGGATGTGGGTTGAGTTGGGGATATAGCGAGGATAAGTGGTTATCTGTAGTTATGAATTGATACCGGGAATATCGGGGGATTTGGAGAGACCTTCTAACCCTTCAGGACAACTGATCTTTCCCTTAAACACTCTTTATACTTCTTTATTTTAGCGCCGCAGGCGAAAATTTTAAGAATTTTGGAAGGCTAAGTAGCCAGATTTCTTCCTTTTTCTGCGCCGCAGGCGAAAATTTTGAGAAATTTGGAAAGACAAGAAGCTAGATTTCTCCAATTTTGTCCTCAGATTGTGTATATTTTTTGCGTATTTTTGCGTTAATTTCATCGAAAAAAAACGCAAAACGCAACGCAAGGCCAAAATTTAACGCAAATAACGCAAAACGCAATGCGCTCACCCCTGATCTGGATTTAACAATTAAACGCAATTCAAAAAAAACAACAGAATATCTACATATATTTACACACAATTTTTACAATATTCAACAACAAAAATATACATATACACAATATTTTAGACTACCTATATTATTCCTATACTATCATCACATACTAACACTCCATATATTTATTTATTCGTAGCAATCCTCGTTGTCAACGAACCATAATATTCCAACAAGCGCTCAACACTCTCGAAGCTTTAAAAATTAAATTAAAATATTCAACAAAGTACAAATAACCCACCAAATACGGTATGGCTCATTACAGCCACTTCCAATCCTGTACGTACTCCAAAGCTTCTCGTCTTTTCCCGGCTCAGCACTAGAGAAGTCAACAATTTGCAGATGAACAACTTTTGTTTTGGAAGCATCCTTGAAGGCAATCATTAGAGGCAATTCCAAAGTCAATTCAGAAGGCCAATCATCAGGAAGACGGTAATAGATGAGCAGATTTTGAATTTGGAGATTTTCAAAACAAGACTCCGCATGCTGAAAATAAAGAAAAATTTTTAGAAAACAAGATTTAGCCACCTCCAAAGTCATAGTCCTAATCACATGATTGACCGGCTCCTCAATCGAACATTGAAAAATTTTGTAGTTTCGAACAATAGATTCGTCTGGAACGAGACATTCTTTCGATTTTTTCGTCTTGCAAGAAGACTCGATTTGTTTGTCCTCTTTCTTGTCGTTTTTGATAGACGAAGGCGCGATTTGTGCAGCTCCCATTTTTTGTTTTAATTGTTTTCCGAGATTGATCTTTAAAAAAATTAAAAGTTTAATTAGTCTTTAAAAAACAAAAAATATTTCACCTGAAGTTTCAAACAAATCTCAATATTCAATTGATTGCCTTTGAGACTGGTTTGAAGATTGACTTTTTGTGTTGTAGCGTTGTTGGATGACGTTGCTTTCATTTGGGAAAAACATTGAAAAAAATTCCTTAAATACTTTGAAAATTTGTGGTAGGAGACTACAATTTGTAGAGCCATAACTTCTTGATTCTCTGTTTAATAACTGTAACGTTTTTAATGTTTAATTTAAATCGGTCCAATTACAAAAAAGACACTGCATATCAACCTTTCAAATAATGACCGGTAGATCGAATTTTTCAGATCCGGATTTGTAAATTGAGCCGGATCGGATTCGGCCGAACTTTTCCGGATTAATCCGGTCCGGAAAAATCCGGAGATCGCGAAAAAACTCCGGATTTTGGACCTTAACTTCAGAAAAATCCAGCCGATCCGGTCCACCCCGGTCCTCTTTCAAATAAGTTATGGTACAAAAACTTTTACTCTGAATCGTCCTCACCTAAAAATTAAAAAGGCATTTTGCCAAAAATTACAAAATAAAGGGTACAGCCCGAATTGTCGCGGGCCAACTTGTCGCGGCCGACTTGTCGCGACCGACTTGTCGCCGGCCAACTTGTCGCGGGGCCAACTTGTCGCCGGCCGAATTGTCGCCAAGCTTTTTAATTAAATATTCTATAAAATACTTTTAAAATACCAAGTTTTTAAATTAAATATTCTGTAAAACGCTACCTGATTAATTTTTTTTATAATGTTAATAAACAATTCAATATTTTATTTATTTAGCTTCTATTATGCTTCATAATTCACAAAGAAATTGCGAAAAATATTCGCACAACGGCTTCAGTTATGTGAAAGATAAAGATAGTGCGGATGGTGATCGCATATTTTGGCGATGTGATGAAAGAGGTAATGGTTGTAAGGGCAAAATTTGGATTATAATCAGAATACCTGTATAACATTTCTCGATTTTATAGAATATTTAATTAAAAAGCTTGGCGACAATTCGGCCGGCGACAAGTTGGCCCCGCGACAAGTTGGCCGGCGACAAGTCGGTCGCGACAAGTTGGCCCGCGACAATTCGGGCGTGTCCCCAAAATAAATTAATTTTTTCATCGAATTTTTGCTGATTTATTTTTAGTTTTTTTTGTTTTCTTAAATGGATTGTTATTTTTTTATTTTAACAGATTTAAAAAAATATTTTCTATTAAAAATTTTTTAATGCAAAATTCTCAAAGAAATAAAGGGACACTTAGAAAACGCCAACCAAATATTAGTAATGATTTAAGTAATAAAACAAATGATATTACAATTAATTCATTTCGTCAAAGAAAGACATTTTTGGAAGATTGTAAGTTTGTTTTTGTTAAATTTAAATAATTTTGGTAGAAAATACTTTTGCCTTGGGACCTTTAAAATGTTTAGTAAAAATTTTAAATATGCCCGATTTGAGGGAGTCTTTGGTTCGAATACTTTAATCGATAACTGACTTATTTTAAATTATTTAACTTTATTAAATAAACATTTTAACGGATCTGCGAGATTCTAGAAAATTTTTTTTATGTCATTTAGTTGAGTAAAACTTAAAAACTAACTAATCTCATAGTGAAACTGTCACTCAAAATTTCGAGGAAATTCTTTACATCTCAAATTCTTAAATTTCCCTTCATATTTATCAAAATTAACAATTTACATTCTTCTTTGATTTTCCTGTTTTTAGTCTTTTTAAGAATTTTTATTTAATTTTAAAATTTAGTTCTCACAAATTTGGCCAATTACTATTTATTTATTGATGTTACAAAGAAAGTAATTGCTTATCTCATTTTGGTGTCGATACTTTCTGTTATAGCTGAATTTGTTGAACTTCCAAGGGATTTGTATATTGTACAGGTTTTTTTATTTTTAAAATATTTCTTTAATTTTTTCTAGAAACATAATGTATTTAATCGATTTGGAACGAAAATTGGCTGGTTTTGGACTTGTCTTTTACTTTCTCCTTTTATGTTTAGTTTTTTTTGTTTTTTAATTAAAAATTAAATTTAGGTGGATTACTTCTTTAATTCACAATGAAAGTTATTTGAAAGCTTTTTATAGCCAAATACGTTTATTAATTGCGACAATTGGTTGGTATTTGTGGACAAATGCGTATATTTTTTATAAAAAATATTTTTGTTAATTTTGTTATTTTAAAAACAGATTTATTAAATTTGAAGATCAAACAGGCGTTTGTCAAGGATTAAATAATTCTTCAAGGATAGATTGTCACAGTGGTGGCGGAAAGTGGATTCCAGGTTTAAAAATAATTTTATGAATTATTTTGGTAATTAATGGATCGTTCGTTAATTTTTTTCTATTCCTATTTGAATGACAAATTGAGCGCATACGAGATAAATTGTCACGGCACAACCGGTCCATTCTACTACAGAGTTTATTACTTATAAAATTCGTGGATTAGAATTTGTCAGTAGTGACACAATTTGCGATATCTCTCGAGCTGATTCTTATAATACCAAAGTAGACTTGCTAGGGCGTTTTTTTTTGTTTAATTCTAGTTTGGGTTGAACTGACATGAGTTTGCTGTAGAATGACCTCCCCCGTTATTACGAAAAGTTGAAAAAAATTCTATCCCAGAACTTATTTTTAACCTATTTTTAGGTTTTGACGTAAGCGGTCACACATTTCTGTTACTTTATAGTATTTTAATTATATCTGAAGAGTCTTTCTCTTTCAAAAATTTGCCTTCAAAACCTCAATTAATTTCAAAGAATTTACCTACAAATCAACAAATTAAGCGTTTTGAGCAGATCAGAAAATTTGTTGAGGTTTTTAATTAAATTTAAAAAATACTTCTTTAATTTCTAGCGAAATTTTATTGGCCTTTTTCTTTTACATTTACTTTGGGACTTTCAATTAATTGTGACTGCTTTATATTATCATAATTTTTTGCAAAAATTGGTTGGTGCTGCAATTGCTGTTGGTTGTTGGGCTGGTTAGTTTTTTATTTGTTTTTAAGGGGAAAGGGATGGAATGGATTGTTGGTTTTCTCTTTTTTTTGTTATTAAATGTAATACACATTTGGGGCTGAAAAAGTTTATGGTTATCTTAAAGTAGTTGGTTCAAACTTTATTTTTCAGTTTTCATATTTTTAATAAATTTATCTATTAAATATATTCAATTTTTAGTTACATATCGTTTTTGGTTTGTTGTTGGATTTCCATTCCTTCCAATGAGGAGAAATGTTTGAAATTAAAAATTTATAGATAATTAATTTAAAATATATTATTTTTTACTTTACTCAATTTTTCTATTTATATCTCGAAGTTTTAATGAATAAAGTTCAACGTAATATTTAATGACTTTACAATGCTAGATGATTTCCATTCATCTTTTATTTGTTAATTTTGTTCCAAAATTCATTTTTTAAATTTTTTTTAGAGTTTATAAAAATGGATTTTCTTCGTCTTTTCCCTCCTAAAAGTCGTCAATCTCGACTGATTTTTTGTAACTATCGGCAAATGGGGCTTTTCTGCTGGTCTGCTGATGAGCCGAATCAAATTGTTATGGTTTCTGCATTGGTTAGTGGTGATGAAAGGAATAACGCAGAAAAATCAAACGAGATTATAACTTTTGAAAACAAACCAGGCGTGTTATTCAGACGTATTTTGGTTATTTTTGTTAATTTATTTTTTTTTAATTTTCGAATTTAGACAATTCTTCTTTCGCCTGAATTGCCAGTTGAAGCAGACTTTACTCAAATTTTGGTAAATAAAAATGGAAATTTGTTGGCTTTGGTAGGCAAATGTATGGTCTTTATTGTGGAATTGGACCCTGATTTTTGGGATTATCGACATCAAATTGGCGTTTCTCTGGATTTTGATTCCTCTGTAGAACATCTCAAAAGCGAGTATTATGCAAGGTTTTTCTGTTTTTATATTTTTCAAAACGCTTATTGTTTTATATAAATTATTTAGTTACAAGTTTATAGAGAGCGAGCAAAAAACGCCTATCCTTGATTTTGTCTTTCTTATGCAAATGTGCAGCAGCATACACTCTCTCGCGTTGTGTCTAACATAAGTCAAGGAAAAATCCAGGAAATGGACAGTGGTCATATAAAGAACAGCAGAGAAAGAAGTGTAGTAAATTTATTTCTCTGCTGTTCTTTATATGACCACTGTCCATTTCCTGGATTTTTCCTTGACTTATGTTAGACACAACGCGAGAGAGTGTATGCTGCTGCACATTTGCATAAGAAAGACAAAATCAAGGATAGGCGTTTTTTGCTCGCTCTCTACAAGTTTATGACTTTCGTTCCGTATTTTTCTTCCCTGGTTTATTAAAAATCTGGCATCTCCTCCTAAGCTGCGACCTAAACGTAGGGCATTCCTTGGGTGCCAATATTTTAGTAAATAAATTAGATACTTATTATTAATTTCTAGGTGTGATCTTCTTCACTTTAATTTATTTATGCGCAAATACGCACCTTCAATTATAAAGGCCGTTTGGTTTGATCCCCAAAAAGATGCGAAACAATATTTTGTTAATGAACATCAGGCTTCTGGAGGGTTGCTTGCTCTACTTTATTCAGACAGCGTAATAAGGTTTATCTTGTCTTGTATTTATCTTGTAAATTTTCAATAATTTTAGACTTTACGATGTCAATTCAGTTATAGATCGACCATATTGTGTTATAGACTTCAACATTCTTTTGTTCGATAGAACGCCTAGCGAAAGTGGCGAAGAATTTAATGACAACAATTCTGGTATTGATAGCCGGCCTCATTCAACTTTTGGATTTGTTACTCAAATTGGTGAGTTTTTTATTTAACTGTCTTTTTTCTTTCGAACATTGAGACATCATTTACCCCTTTTTATCAGGACTTTCTGCGTAACTATATTTTTCATTTTTAAAGTTTCTTTCGACTTTGGACCTATTTTTCCAATCGTCGACAGGTCAGCTAGCAATAAATCGAAGTCATCTTCTCTTTTTTCTGTTTTGTCTTTGGATATGAATGGCGGGATTTATATTGCATTTTTTCAATTTCATCATTCAAATAATACAATTTTGTCAAGGTTTTTTAAACTTTTTAATAACATTTATATCTTCATATTTTCAGTCTAGCGCCAATTGGTCCTTTGATATGCACTTTTCCAATTGTTGGGCCTCAGTCTCCGCCAATTTCCAGTCGACTTCTCTGTTCTTCTATAGATATTCATTGTATTCGTCACTCCCAATCACAATTAATTCCGATTTTTGCTATTGCGAGTGAAGATGGATTTTTGGCTCATTTACTTTTAGCTTACAACAATTCCTTCTCTGATCAAAATTTGTTTGAAATTGAGGTATTAAATCCATTAAACTATTGATAGGCATTCTCTTATCACCCATAGATCTACATATTTATTTTTTTAATATTTTTAAGCAATTAACATCTGAGGGCTTCTTTAATCTGTTTGCTTTTGAATTTATGCAAATTTCTTCTGATGACAAGTCATCCAAGACTGGAACGAAAAATTTGAAGAAAAAGGCACTTACATCGTTAAAAGCTTCTTCAATTAAATTACTACAAGGTAAAGAATTTTTTATTTTGCTAGATTGAGTTTGAGTTTTTTGAGTCCGATTGAGTCCGCTTACAACTTTCAATCTTTAAAATTAAAAATATTTAGATCCATTTGAACGATATTCTTCTTCATCATGTTCTTATTTTGTAATTTGTTCTCGTGATCTCTTCCGAATCGACTTATCCTCTGTTCGAGTTCAGTTGATTGAAAATTGTGGTGTTGATCAATCTAAAAATCAAAGTATTTCTTTACCTCAGTCATCAATTCATCAATTATTATCTTTTAATGACGATGGGGTTATTTCTATTTTTATATTTTTTAAAATAAATTTAAAGGTAATCTCCTCAATTGCTTCATTTGAATTGTTACGCTTTCCTCTTTCTGGCGCACTTTCTAATCTTGATAATCAACCAATTAACAATTCAATTTACAAATCTCAACAACATCAACTTCTTGCTGCTCTTTGTACTTCTCAATTTAAATTAAATGAAAATGGAACAGAACAAATGAAATTTTCTCATCATTTTTTGGCAACTTTATTTAACAGGTTTTTTTTGTTTTATTAAAAATTAAATTTTTATTTTTTAGATATTATAACTCTTCTCATTTGACTAACAATTCACCATTGTCATCTGTTAATCACCAAAAATCGCCTTCAGCTTCATTACATCAACAGTTATCAGCAGAAATTCGCCGTCAATTGAATGAAGGTGTTAGTGCAGATAATTTGTCTACTACTCTTCCTTCAATTAATTTGGACAGTGAAGCATCGGTTAGTCATATAACAATAAGATTTAAATATAAGTCAAGTCGATGAGATATACCCAAAATTAAATACCCCTTAATATAAGATAGAATTTTTTCGGCTCCAAATGTCATAGTGAGGTTTTCACTACTTAATTAGTTCGAGATTTTCAACTAATATAAAATTTCTCTAGATTTCCCAACGAATTTCTACTCTTTCACTTATGCAAAATGCAATTAAAAATATTTTTTTAAACAAAGCATTACCTGTTCGTGAAAAAGCTATTGACTACACCTTAAAAAGGTTTGTTTTGATTTTATTATTTAAAAATTAAAAATACCATTTTTAGGGCAGAGAATATTTTGAAAACTTCTTCTGAGGTTGATAAACTTCGAGAAAGCATTCAACAACGGCTAATGGATTTGTTTAGTCAAATTAATGATATTAAAGCGATTATTCTTAAAAGGCAGCACCAATATCGATTATTGGATGAAAAAATACAAAAAGTTTATTTTTTAAATTTAAATGGGGGGTTTTTTGAATTGAAAAATTATTCTGATGGAATTAGGATGATTTACTATTTTTTATCAAAAATTCATGTTTTCGATAAAATATAAAAATATTCCTAAATTCTTCATAGTTGATCCATGGTTTTTAAACTATTTTTGGTTAACATATTTTGAAAGTCTAATAAAATGAAAATCCCCCTGGAAAAAAAACAAATACAAAAATATTTTTTGTAATGGGAACGTTTTTTATTATAATGCTTGTTTTTATTTTTTTTAATTTATATGTAGATTGCCCAAATTCTTCAACCAATTATGTTCTCAACTTCTGAAGATGAAATTGAGGCTTTAGACAAATTACAATTTATGCAGAAAAGAATATTTCAATGTCGTCGCTGTATACAGACGGTAAAGAATAAAAGATTTTTCTAATTTAAAATCAATTTTTAGCTAAATTCTCGAATTAACGAGTCTCGTCAAAATTTATTTGGATTTGCCAATAAAGAATTAAAAACAGCAACAACATCTTTTAATTCTGAATTGATTCCTGCACAAATATTTATTCTTTCTAAAAAGTTTTTTTAATTATTTTAATTTTCTTTTTATTTTTTAGTGAGCGCCAATGCAACAAATTACGTGAACAAATTATGTTTTTAGAAAATAAAATTGGTTAATTTAAATTAAATTTTTTTGGAAAATATTTTCATTTTTTATTATTTTAAATTTGGAAAATTTTATTTTAAAAATTTGAAAAAGTAAAATTTATGCTTTATTAATTTTTTGAAGATTTTTTAAGGGGGTTTTTTTTGCTTATTCTAAGCTTGCCCCATTTTTGTAATTTTTACCCACACTTATAGAAATTTTTTTTTGAATTTTCTCTAGACATTTTTTGGATATTAAGAATTGGGTATTAAGAATTCTGTTCATTTTCTCGTTTTTTTCAAATTATTGATTGAAAACTAAACGATTTCTAAACCTTTATTTAAATCTAAATATCAGCTGCCTCTAACTAGACATTTAATAATAAAAATGTCCTTCTTTTTAATAATTTTATTTTGAAATGAACATATGAATATTCTATTTATTTATTTTCTAAAAATAGAGTTAACGTTATCTTTTATGGACTTTAATATCATTTTTTATCTTTACCCCATATCAATTTACTAATTTTTGAACACTTAAAAAACTTTGGATTTTTAAATTTTAGAAATGTTTCTCCATTTTTTGGCAAAAACTTTTCTTTAATTTTTCAAAATTCTAACCAAAAACTGAATTTTTGGTTGTTGTTTACTTTTATTTAAATATCTCAAATACATTAAACATCTCTTTTATTAACATCTGCTATAAACAATATAAACTCTTTTTTAAATAAATCAAAGTCTGTATATATTCTCTATATTATTATTTAATTTTTATGTAAATTCTCTCTCATTTTTGAGAATTTTTATGTCCCAATTTGTTTGCCATGTGATTAAACTGTAGGACAATTGTGGATGAGCAATTTTGGCCAGAAAAATTGGCGCAACCAAATTCGCTGTTAAAGTTCCTTGTTAGTTTTATTTGGGAGTTTATGGGGGGCTTGTGCTAATGTTTTGACTTGCTGAAAAATTATCAAGATAATCACGTAAAAGATATGAGATACCAAAAAATATTCGCTGATTTTTTCTCTCTTGATATTATCCCATCACAATTTTCTAATTCGCAATTGTCGTAACACAAATTAAACCGTTATACATATAGTACATACAAAGATTTACATAAAATTAGACAATAAAAATATTTATTAGAAAAATATGCAATAATATTTATCTGAAAAACCAAATAGATTAAGGTAGTTGATGTTGTTGATAGTCTCTCTCTCCCTCTAGAATTTTTTTTAATATTTTGTAAATATTTATTTGGTTTTGTTGCGCAGACTTTTTTGAATTGAACTTTTTAAATTATTTTTCTTAAAATTTAGATCAGTTTTAATTTTTTTAATTAAAAAAATAATGGTCCAATCTGAAAGTGTCAAAAAGAAAGAAGATGTTGTTTTTGGCAAGGGAGATTTTGTTCTTTACAAAAATAATTCTAGCGAGAAAAGGTAAAGTAAAAGAAATTTGTTTGAAAGAATTTATAAAAAATATTTTTAAATTACCGTATTTCCTGAAATAGTACTCCCCCCTAAATTAGCACTCCCCCCTTAAATAGTACTCCCCTTTGGAGGAGGGTTGAAAAATAGTACTCCCCCCTGAATTAGTACTCCCCCTAAAATAGTACTCCCCCCAAAAATATTTTTCCTCTATACATATTTAAAAAAATAATACGAGACATTGAATTATTTTATTTATTCTAAGTATCGTTGTCGGTTTCACTTGATTCTTTGATAAACAAAACCTGAGAGCTTTCGGTTAACCGAAAACGAATCGAAATTTTAAACTAAAATTTTTCGAGGATTAAAGAGATATAATCCGATTAATTGGTGGAGTAAAAGTGGATTTTGGGTATATAAAGGGATTGATATCGGGTGTAAAATGGGTTCTGTATTAATCAAGTGGCATTTAAAAGACATCATTGGATTAAGGTTTGATATAGGAATTTGAGGGAATAATGAAGGGGGAGTAATATTAGGCGATTTTGGTTGATTAAGAGCGATTAAGCGATAAGTTGAATCATAAATCCTTCTTAATCAACTAATATCGGAAGTACAAAAGGGATGTGGAGGATATCGGTGTTTAATATGATAAATAACTAGACAGAGATTAGGTAATCCCTAGACACATGGGTTTAGTTGACCCTGATAAATCTTAGACCCGAAAATCCCCTTATATCCCTCGATATCACTCCAAATTCACTTATATCCTTTTTGATTTCCCTCAATAACCCGTATTTTAAGTCACTTGTGTTTAATTGTCTCGCAATTTGCTCAATTTTATACTAATTCGGATATTTTCTACAACTTTTATTAAAGAAATTTTTTGAAAATCAGGGTCCGGATCCGGCATTTTTCAAATAGCGAACTCTAATCGAATTTATTTTGAGATAAATTGAAATAAATTAAAATATTTTTTTTAATTTTGAAATAAATTTTCCTATGAAAAATCATGGAGGATGGTTGAAAAATAATACTCCCCCCTGAATTAGCACTCCCCCCTTAAATAGTACTCCCCTTTGGAGGAGGGTTGAAAAATAGTACTCCCGGGAGTACTATTTTAGGAAATACGGTATATCTAAAAATATCCCTCTGGGATTTAAAATCACTTAAAAAATAATGAGTGATATGTATTAAATTGGGAGTATTGCTTAGGTAGCTCCGCTACCCCAGTGGTGCTTTTCAGAAGATTTGCAGCAGAACCATTGTATGTAGTCCTTCCTTATTCTTCCCTATCATTCCTATTCCTTCTCTATTTATAAGCTTTTCCCTATTTATTAACTTAGTAAGGGGAGCTTTTAATCATCTAAAAAGTTCTAAAAACATAATTTAATTGTTCAAAGAGCAAAAACAAAATCGACATTTTTATGATTCAACCTATTTTATATACAATTAATTGGCCATTGTGATTTTTCTTTCCTTTTCTACGTGAAGTCATAATTCAATAAATATTTCCAAACCTTCTTATAACAAAAGAGCATTTATTCAAATAACGGAAATACATATAATTAAATAACCCTTCAGAATTAATTAATTATTGTGTGGGAGTGAGTAATAAAAAAAATCTATTTTTAATTTTAAGACAAACTTCTCTCTTTCTTCTTTTTTATTTATTTATTTTCATTATATAACTAATTAATTAGTTAAATATATTTTATTTATTTTTGTGCGCATCTCCTTTTCCCTTTTATATATTTTATCACCTCTACCCCCTTTCCTCCCCCCAACTTTGGAGTGATCGATCAACATTTGATCATTGCAATTGATCAAAGAAAAGCGTTTAGTATTTGGTGCTTTTCTTTTTATTTATTTGCAACAAAAAATTTTTGATTTATTAATTTTTTTATTTTTTTTTAAAGACAAGGACATCAAGGAAAAACATTTATGAGAAAAAAAGTGGCGGAAGCAAAAGGTCAAGAGCCTGCTACAATTTGTATTGGCAACAATAAGTGAGTAATTGTTGTTTATTTTTAAAATGTAAATGCTGAAATATAATTAGTATTTCAATCTCGCTGGAGGGGGTATTTAGGAGGATGTGCTGGATTTGGGATGTAGCTCAATCTAGTTGAGGCGAAACTGATTTATTTTTTGATATTGTCTTAAAATATTCCAATAATTAAATTTAAGCATAATTTTTTAAATATTTTAAAGTTTGCGTAAAAAACTCCCCAATAGTCTGATCCTGCTTTTTGATACCTGGCAGCCCCCAAAGTATTGTACAATTTTGTCAAAAAAATTGTAATATTAACATTTTTAAAAATATTTATACAAATTTTTACATTTTCTGGATGCTCATTTATTTTTAAATCCTTAAATGTTATCCTCTTTTAAATAAAAATAATTAGTATATTTAGTTGTTATAGAAACAGAAAATATTTTACAAAATAATTTCCATTAATTTATTTTTATAGTAACAACAGTCAAAGAAAACGTGTCGGATCACAATTGAGCACAACTAGTGGCATTGATGGAGGTAAATAATTAATTTAAATGAGAGAGAATTTTAATTTATTGATAAGAAGCGACTGATTTTTTTTTTAATTTTTTGTTTTTCTTTCACCAACGCTTTTGCTTGTTAATTTTACATTGATAAGCTATTTTGTTGCTTGCTTTTAGACAAAATTAAATAAATCCAGAAGATCGACCTACTAAAAAATTTTACATTTTGGTACAATCGGTTCTCACTATATTTGGAATGAAAAAATTATCTTATAATAAAGTTTATCTTAAATAGGAGAGAGATATAGTTTGGGAGGAGGGGGAGGAGTATAACCATCGTTTGAGGAAGTATCTTCTAATTTTGAGAATATTTTATGGAGAATCTGTGAAACTTTATTTTGATATTTCCATTCGACTCCTCAATATTTTCCTTTTCTACAACTTTCTACTGCAAAAGTTTTTCGTGTTTCGTAAAAGAAACTTTTTCGTTTTCTTTATTCACACACTTACATAAATACCGGTAATTAATTATTTGTGGTTTCGATCTTTTGGATTTAACCAAAATTAATTTTTGCGATTTTTGATTAACTGATAATTTTTTGTTTGTTTTGTTTTTGCAAATTTAATATATTTTACAAAATTTTTTAAATGCTTTTATTGCCTTTTTTCTTTTCCTTTTCTGTTAAAAATTAAATGATTGAAAAAGAACATTCAAACACAACACTTGAAATTAATCAAAATAATTCATTATTACCTTCATCTCCCAAAAAAGAAAACAAAGTAAAAATACAAATTGGTGGAAATGAAGGAATACCAACACTTTCCAGAAAACCTGGAATTGATTCAGAGCCCCTTTTAACTACAATAACACAAAACTCTACAAGTTTAAATAATCTACCACCGCCTATTAGAAGAAATAATTCACATCACAGCTTTTTTGGATTTACTTATCATTCAAGTAAAGAAAAATAATTTTTCTGGAAGAAAGGGGGGAGGATTTTTAAATTATGACTGGGGATTTGGGTAGGGAATTAGTCGGAAATATTTTTAGAAATTTTAAATTTTTTCCAAAAAGAATTTGATAAACCGCAAAATACTACATTTTATATACACAAAAAAATTCAATATGTACAATACATAAATAGGTACAATACAAATCACAATACATATAATATTACAATTCAATCAAAATACATATATCCGAGATAAGGAATTATAACACACAAATACCTAGGTGTATAGCCTAACAATAATATATACAACACACAACATTGAGTATAGGAAGGGGGAAAAGCAAATATACAACAAAAGGTGCAATTTAAGGATTTTGAGGGGGAGGAGGAGGAGGAGTATCAGGAAGGCCAGCAGACACGTTCTCATACAATCCACTCATCGTTCCAAGATTCAGAGCAGGAAGAGGCGCTGGTGGTGGTGCAGCAGTTGGCGGTTGTCCTTCCGTGGCTTTCTCGGTTGGAGCAGCAGTAGTCGGAGCCAATGGCGCAGGAGTGCTTCCTTCTGTCTTCGCTTGCTGGTCCTTTTCTTCCTTCTTGGGCACAGCTGCTTCTTCAGGCTTGGTGGTGATGGCCTTTACTTCTTCCTTCTTTTCTTCTGGCTTTTTGGTAGTCTCAGCAACCGGCGCCGCAGGAGCCTGCACGTCTTCTTTCTTCGGTTCACCAGCACTCTTCTCAGTTTCCTTAGATGGCCCTTCAGCTTTTGATCCTTCCCTTTTAGACGACTTGACTCCACTTTTGCGCTTGCTGTGCCCGACTTTTGTTCCGCTTGTGGTCCTCTTGCTGGAAGAAGCCTTCGTCCCGCTTATGGTCCTTTTGCTCCCAGAAGCTTTCGTCTCACTTTTGGTCCGAGCGCTGCGCTGGCTTCCCTCTAAAATAAAAACATTTTAAGAAAATTAAAACAGACGGATATTCCTTACTTTTCTTGTCTTCCTTCTTGCCTGCAGGAGGACCAGTGTCGACGATAGCGGTCTTTGTGCCATCACCAGCCTTCGATTGAACAGCCGTACTCGATGTTGACTTTGTAGCAGCTGCCTCCTTTCCTTTGTTCGGAGTCCTTTTGCTCGAAGACTTCGTCCCGCTTGTGGTCCTTTTGCTCCCAGAGGCCTTCGTCTCACTTTTGGTCCGAGCGCTGCGCTGGCTTCCTTCTAAAATGAAACATTAAGAAATTTAAATCAAATGGTTTCCTTACTTTTCCTGTCTTCCTTCTTGCCTGCGGGTCCGGTGTCGATAGCGGTCTTTGTACCATCACCAGCCTTGGATTGAACAGCCGTACTTGATGTTGACTTTGTAGCAGCTGGCTCCTTTCCTTTGTCCCGATGGCTCTTGCCCTTACTTGACTTCTTTCCTTTCTCCCCTCCACCTTCAGTTGCACCTAGAATTTTAGTGGATTATTAGTTTTACACGAAAATTAAGTTTATTTTGTGCTTACCTTTCTTTTTGTCAGCAGCTCCCTTTTTCTTCTTATCATCCCCTTTTTTGGGTGTTTCAGCCGGAGTTCCTCCTTCTGCCTTCTTTGTTTTCTCCTTGGATTTTCCTGAATGCTTGCTGCGTTTGCTTCCGCCCTTCTTGGTTTCGCCAGGAGTAGATTCAGCGACCGGCTTTCCAGCTCCCGCCTTTGACTTGTCGCCTCCCTCTTTCTTCTTAGCATCACTGCCGCGCTTGCTCGTGGACTTGCCCTTATGACGAGACTTCTTTTCATCAGCATCTTTAGCTAAAAAAACAAGAAATTTTTAATAGAAAAACCAAACTAACAAAAAATAAATTTACCTTTTTTCGTCTTTTCCCCTTTTGCAGGTGTTGTAGCAGCAGGAGCAGGACTTTTGCTATCCTTGCGGCCTCCACGCTTGGAAGTTGACTTCGCTTTCGATGACTTCTCCTTCGTCTTTTCAGGCTTTTTCTTGTCCGCACCTTCGGCATCCTTCTTAGGCTCTGTCACTGTTGAAGGAGATGGCTTTGAAGATGGAGGAGGCTCAGCAGATGTAGATGTTTTCTCGGCAGATGATGTTTCAGAAGACGGAACTGGAGCAGGCGGAAAGACTGGAGGAGGCTCAACATGAAGAGGGAGAGGGCGCTCATCCTCGACGACAATTCGCAATTCCTCGTCTTCATCCAGCAAGGCCATGGTGTCGACTGTTTTGGTAGAACGTTTGGAACGTTTGCTTCTGCGTCTACTGGGCTCCGGCTCGACAGGGTCAACATTCTGAAAAAAAATAAAAAATTAATAGAAACGTTGTTTAAACATAAAAGAGAAAGTGTCATCACCTTTCCAGCTTGTCCTTGACTGAACATGAAGAATCCAGCAGCCAGCAGAGCTAGAAGAAGGAGCAGGAAAAACATCCTTGGATTTTGTGTTGTTTTTGAAGTTTTGTTGTTTGAAGAGAAATGAAGATTTGATGGTAGGTAATCCTTTTGGAAGAGCCCGGTTTTTATAGTATGAAAAATGCGGGCAGCGAATCTTATGAACTCAATCCCGTTATTCGACCACTGGAATTTTTCTTACATTTTTTTATTTAACTCAGGAATTTACATTTAAAGATCCTCCCTTTAAAGCCTCAATTAATTTTTCCTTTATTTTATTATCTTTAATTAAAATTTAGCTTTGCTTTTTTCCTTTAAATTGCTTATTTTTGTTAATTCTTTTTTTATTTTATTTTTTAATTAAAACAATTTTTATTTGTTTTCATTAGGAACTGATCATGGATTCCTTTCATGGAGTTCTTTTAGAAAAAAGCCAAATGGAAATGCCGATTTTGAAAGTGGCGACTTCCCTCTATACGACAATGAACCTGTCCACAATTTTTTGGCACCATATATCAGTGGCTACACAACACCTGGGCCGAGGGAGAGGGAAGCAAGTAAACAGAAAAAGGTGAAAACATTTCAAATTTTAATTAGTAAATGTTAGGAATTCGAGAATTTTTGTCTAAAATTCGAGTATTTTGGGCTGGAGTAGCTGATTCATAGTCTTAGTGAACGACATATCGACTTTTTCTTAAGGAAAAAAAGTCGTTTTAAAAAAATCTACAATTATTCGCGAACGACTTTTTTTAATAAACAAAACGCCAGAACTACGTAAATATCGATGTTTTACGCCAAACGATTGCGAAACGACTTTTTTGTATCTCTTTTTCTCTAATTTCACATTATATTTCCTTTCTCTTTTTCTATTAATTTTCGTCTCTCTTGTTTTGTGCAGTCCATTTTTCTTGGAATCCAAAAACTTTGTAGGGCCATAACTTCCTTTATTTTTGTCTGTTCGAATTATTTTTGGCACCATTCGAAACAGCTCGAAAAGCTCCATCGAATGAAACATCAAACTTACAAAACATACCAATTTTGTATGTTTTGAATAATTAAAAGAAAACAATAGAAAAAAACGAAGAATTGATAAAAAAATTATCATCTACTTGATTTGGGGTCGCTTTAGTATATTCCCACAGATTTTCCAGCGAAGATTCTGTTGAACATTTTCTAAAGAACATTTTCAAATGTAGTCGAATCTTGACTCTAGGCTTTTCTTGGGCTTTTTCGGGCATAGGGGGAAGTTAAAAACAAAATTTCAATAAAAAAACGAAACAAATAAACAAAAATTTATCAAAAAAACTAAAAGCCAATGTCTCGTTTCACTCATTAGATTTGTGGCCCTAAAGAGGGCCGTTTGGGTTGTGTTGTTTGTGTTTGTTGTCCATCTAAGACTGCAATTCAAAGGTTGCCAGGCAGAATCACTTCAACAGCAAATCGCCCGAGCACGTCGTTGTAACACTTAGAAAAATGAATTAAAAAATTGAAAAAATTTTAAAAAATTCCAAAAAAATAAGATTTAAAAAACAACCTCTCCTATTGTTTCCCCATTGTTGCAGCCGTAGGATGGAGTTCGACACACATCAAACAAGTTTTGATTAAACATAAAAAAGAAAAAATTTAGGAATGAAAAAAATTTAGCAACTAATTCTAGGATCAATGAAATCTGACCAATATTCAGATTTCTCAATATTCGGATACAGATCACTGAATATTGAGAAACCTTAGGGGCGGTTTTTTGGAGTAAAAAAGTTTATACAAACGATAGCTCATTCAAGTTTCAGGGTGCGAAATTCGGTTCGGGAAGTGTAATTTAACCCGGAAAGTAATTTACCCACAAATTATAATGCACCGAAAAACAAAATAACCTGATAATGGTTGCTGCTCCAAATGTCGTTGATGGTAAGTGTTTGCTTCTGAAAATTCACTACTACCATTAACAATAAGACTTCCAAATGTTGTACTAGGAGGCTAATGAGACAGGCATTAATTCTACAGCTTAAACTCTTGTAACCCCTAAAAATAAAAAAAATGAAATCCAATTTACAAAAAACCTCCTTACAAATTGAGAGACTGCACTGAACGAAAATTAATAGAAAAAGAGAAAGGAAATATAATGTGAAATTAGAGAAAAAGAGACACAAAAAAGTCGTTTCGCAATCGTTTGGCGCAAAACATCGATATTTACGTAGTTCTGGCGTTTTGTATTAAAAAAAAGTCGTTCGCGAATAAAAGTAGTTATTCGCCGCGAATCGACGAAAACGTAGATATGTCGTTCACTACATAGTCTCATATTTTTAGCGGGAGGATTACAGGTCGTTATGAAATAGAATCCCTATAAGACCTCTCAAATGATATGAGAATTACTTGAATTTTTCAGACCGATTGACCTAATTTGAATCCAACTTTACTGCCTATTTATTTTATTTTTGGCGAAATGTATTTGACAGTTTAAGATTTTTTAAAATAAATTTCCTTTTTATTTTTTTAAGATTCATTTTCTAGTTTTTATTTTTTTAGTTTTCATTTTCTATTTTTTATTTATTTTTCTTTCTATTTTTAAGATCCATAAATTTACATATTTAATTCCTTTTTAACTAATTTATTTTCTCTATGATGCCCCTTTATCGGGCTCTAGGCAATAACCTAGCGCCTCTTTACGAAGAAGAAGCTCCAACATTTTACGTTGGTTGTTTAACACCAAATCCCCAAGAAGGAATTCCACCCGCTCATGATTTTTTAAGTGGTTATACAACACCTGGACCAAATGAAAGAGAAGCTAGCAGATATTTAAAAGTTTTTTTTAAATTTCCAATTTTGATGGTCATTTAATTATCCCTTCCTTCAATTTTATTTTTAACTTTATTTTTAAATTTAGGCAAATCTCGGCGTTATGTTGGGTGTCTATCTACCTACAATTCAACACATTCTCGGTGTTACAATGTTTATTCGTCTTGCTTGGTGTGTTGGTGTTGCTGGGGTTGGACAAACATTTCTTATGCTCTTTCTATGTTGCCTTTGTGTAATTTTTTTAATTTTATATATTTTCAAAATATTGATTTTTAATATACTATTTCATTAGAAAATTTTATACTTTGCATTAATTTATACCCTATTTCCTATGCATATAAAAAATAAATATTTGATCCATAGTCTATAAAGCTTATTTTTGTCCGTACTCTCCACTCTTCCCTAGCTTTTGGTGAGGAAGTTGGGCTTTCCTTTATAAAAAATTTTAAGAATTTTTTCAATAGTCTTTTTTAGTAAAATCTTTAATTATATTTTTTAGACCTTTCTCACATGTATCAGTGTATCTGCTGTTGCTACAAATGGAGTTGTAGAAGGAGGCGGTGCTTACTTTATGGTATACTTTTTTTATTTTTTGTGTAAAAATTTGTTTTAAGATTTCCCGAAATTTGGGACCTGAATTTGGTAGTGCCGTTGGCATACTATTTTATTTAGCCAACACTGTGGCTACAGCAATGTATTTGGTTGGAGGCGTTGAAATTCTATTGGTTTTTTTAATTTTTAATAGGCTCTGAAGTATGTCATTTACCTACTATTTTAGTTGTATCTATTCCCTGCATTGACCATCGGAGGACATGAAACTCATACGGATACAGGTTTAGTTTTTTAGTTTTGTTTTTATATTTTAATTTTTTATGGTCAGGAATATCCATTTAATTTTTCTTATTAAAAGGGGTATTCAGAACTCGTTTATAATTTTTGGGGCTTGTCCCAACACTGATCTTTTTATCAGTTAATTCTAAGCCTTTTGTTTTCATTCATCCTCTGCATAGTAGAATTAAGAAAATTACAAAAAGTTCACTCACAGTTAGCGAGTCCCTGTTAAGAGAATCACTTGGCTTACTTCTTCCTAATGAGAGATTAAAAAATTATTTGACCAATTTTTTTTATTTTTTAAGGAATATTTGGAATGATGTCCAACAATTTACGCTTCTACGGAACAATTCTTTTGATTGTCGAATTTTTGATCGTTGCTATGGGTGTTCGTTTTGTTCAACTTTTAGCACCGGTAATTAATTCTAAAAAATTTCTTTTCTCTCTCTTTCCAATTTTTCCAAAAATAGAAAAATGTAAAGAATGTCCTTAACCTTCTCTCTCCAGTTTATTTTTTTGACTGTTTGCCCTTCATCTTTTTTTTTATTATTAATTATCTATTTCTGAAGAGAAGAAATGTCACATTAAATTTTAAATAAATTAAATAATTGCCAAATAAAAATTTTTTTCTAAAAGATTTCTTTGGTTTGTGTAATTTTTTCAATTCTTGCATGTTATGCTGGTGCTGTTGAAAAAACTCTTTATCCAGATACTGGCCAAAGGTTTTTTTAATTTAATTTAAATTAAAAACATTTCATAGAATTTGTATGTTGAATGACCATTTACTTCAAGCAAAAATTGTTTTACCTCCAGAAGCACCAATTTCTGAAATTTGTAATTATTGTAATTGGACAAATTCTGAATTGTTTGTTTTTAATTTTTAAATTAATTATAATTTATTTTTTAAAGAAAATCTATATTAACTAATGCCTATGTAAATGCTACTCAAATGAAACTTTCCTGTGTTAATGGATATCCTGGTTATGGAAGTAAAGCTTTAATTCGTAGGTTTTTTATAAATTAATAAATTTTTGAGTTGCGTTGTGTTATCTTGATACATATGTAAATTTAAAATAGTGTTTTATTTTTATTTGGGTACACCCCAACTTACCGCAGAGCTATAACTTTGTTCAAAATTGTCGAATCCGGGACGCCCTGGTATGGTTCGATTCAGCTCGTCGAGGCGCATCGAACCACATCAGGGCGTCCTGGATTCGCAATTCTGAACGAAGTTATAGCTCTGCGGTAACTTGGCCTGCTCCCTTTTTTTATTTATTTTTCATTATCGTGTCAATTAATTTTTAATTTTAGAAAATCTTGGCTCAAATTATCCAAGTTTTCTGCAATATTCTTATGGAAAAGAAGCAAATCCAAAAGTAGAAGTCTTTCAAGATGTCAAAACAACTTTCTTTTTAATTTTGGCTATTTACTTTCCAGCAGTTACAGGAATACTTACAGGAACAAATATGAGTGGTGATTTGGCTAATCCACAAAAATCGATTCCTGGAGGAACTATTGCAGCACAATTGACAACTTCTTTTATTTATTTTTCTTTGGCCCTTGTATTTGGTGCAGCAATAAGTCCAGAATTGTTAAGGGATAAGTATGTATTTGTTTTATATATTTTGGGATTTTATTTAAAAAAATTTTTTTGAAAATTTTATGGTTATTGCTTATAAATTTCCTGATTTTCCCCATTTTTCTTAATTTTCAGATACGGCCAATCTCTACATGGTGGAATGGTTGTTGCCTCTCTCGCATGGCCGAGCGAGTGGGTACTTCTAATAGGCTCTTTCCTATCGACATTTGGTGCTGCTCTACAATGCCTTTGCAGTTAATTTCTTAAATATTTTTAAAAAAATAAATCTTTGGTTTTAGGTGCTCCCCGTCTTTTACAAAGTATTGCAAAGGACGACGTTATCCCTTTTCTACAACCTTTTTCGAAAGTTACAAAAAAGAACGAGGTCCTGGACACTCATTTGTTTACCCCTTAATTAATATTTATTTTTAGCCTTTCTATGGTTTAATAATAACAACATTTATCGCTGAATTGGGAATCTTAATGGGAGCAATGGACAATATTGCTGCTGTTGTAGATTTTTTCTTTTTGATGTGTTATGCCTTTGTTAACATCATTTGTGCACTTCACTCAATACTTGGAGCACCGAATTGGCGACCAAGATATGTTTATTACCATTGGTTTGTTTTTTATTTCCTAGTATCATAAAAACAAAGTTAATTCTTTTTGAAAAATTGCTATTTATTTTGAATTTTATTTCCGTTAAACTAAAAAATTGTTGCAATGTTTTCAAAAAACCTAACTGCCAATCGCCCATGAACTAGAACCGACACAAAAATTTATAATTTATGTTAATCGTTGTAGGTCTTTATCGCTACTTGGTGCTGCTTTATGTTTCTTCATTATGTTTAGCACTCATTGGGACTATTCAATTTTATCTATCCTTCTTTGCGTAATAATTTACAAATATGTTCAATGGAAAGGGTAAAAAATATTTTTACAAATTAAATAAAATATTTTTAATTTTAAGTGCAAAAAAGGAATGGGGTGATGGTATTCGCGGTTTGGCTCTAACAACAGCTCAGTATAGTTTAATGCAAATTTCTGAAAAGGATCCTCATCCTAAAAATTGGAGGTAATTTTTTTATCAATTAATACATTAATAGAAAATATTTTTAGGCCCCAACTTCTTATTCTTCATTCAATGCCTTGGTCAAAAGAATTGGTTGATGTTCGATATTTAAACTTGCTCAATTTTGCGGCACAAATGAAAGCAGGGAAGGGTCTTACAATGGTCGTCTCTTTTCTTCGAGGTAATCCTAGCAATGAGGAAGATATGAAAGCAGCACAACAAGTAAAAACTAGAATGGAGAATGATATGCAGCAATTAAGATTAAGAGGGTTTGCTAAAACATTGCTATATGATGAAGATCAGGTTATTAGTAAATAGTTTTTAGAAAATTATTTTTTTTATTTAGATAGGAGGAAGTGTTAATGCTTTAATTCAAAGTATTGGAATTGGTGGACTTAAACCAAACACTCTTTTGCTTAGTTGGCCGACTCGAGAACCGTCAGAGGATCAAGTCGTCGATTCGGAATATCAAACATTCACAGGTTGGGGGAATTGTTTTATGTAAAGTTAAGATAACTTTTTGCATTTAGGACAGAATTTATCAAAATATTAAAAAATCTAGAATCTCTCCTTTACATCAAAATTTTGACGATTTCAGGCGAAATGGACCTGATCGTTTTATTTTCCTCTTTTATTTTGTCCAGGGCTGGTTAGAATAAGTAAATCCCCTGCCAATTTTTTAAACCCTCTACTAATTTTATTTTCTTCAACCTTTTAGGTTAAAATCCTGTTAGAGCCTCGGTTCAAATTATAGTCGAAAACATTTTTCCAATCTTAGGTTAGAATGTTTATTAATTTTCTAATTTAAAAATGTTTGATAACTCTGAAAACTCTCATAATTATTTAGTTCTATTAGATGCATAATTTCATAAATTCTAAGTAACCTATTTTTATATTCCTTTTTTAGACAAACTTTTGGCTGGTGCAGTTAGCGGAATGGCACTTGTTGTTGCTAAGGGCATTACTGACTTTCCCAACAATGTAAAGCTAAATGGTCATTTGGATGTTTATTGGATTGTTAGAGATGGGGGTCTTTGCCTTCTAATAACATTTTTGTTGAGGCAAAGCAAAGTTTGGCGGCATTGTAAAATTAGAATTATTGCTGTTGCTCGGCAACAAGAGAATAGTACAAAATTAAAGCAACAATTACAAACTTATGTTTATCAATTACGTATTGATGCTGAAATTTTGGTAGAAAAAGTTGAAAATAAAAGAGAAAAATATTTTTTGTAGGTAACTGAACTTAGTGACCCAGAACTTTCAAAAACAGCTTTTGAAAGGACACTTTTGATGGAAGAAAGGTCGAAGATGTTGAAACAAATGCAACGTAGAGGAATTGCAAATAACCGTCAATTGAATGAACCTGGAGGAGATTCTGATGACAGAGCTTTACCTGTAAATTTTATTTATTTTTTTTAAATCTTATAAAATGTAATTAAAACAGAATTCTTCACCTCACGCTGAAGATACATCTTCTAGCAATGACTCTTCTCAAAAAGAACAGCCACTTGAGAATAATGAAGGTTTTTTTACGTTAATAAAATATTTTTAAAATAAATTTAGAAATTGGAGACAAAGTTTCTGACAACGATGAAGGTGATGGACAAAACAGGAAGGAAAGGTAAAAAAAGGTGTTTGTTAATTATCACTGCAGTGATGATTCCATTATAGGATACACACAATATTAGTAGTACACTTTATTTTAAGATTTTTTTGCTTATGTTAGCTACTAGGTTGGGTAGTCTTAGACATTCCCTAATCTATAATTAAGATCCAACTTGATAACATTTCTACAAAATTTATAAATCCCCAATTTAAAGTACTCATTATCTCCCGCGACAACCTTCACTTCCCTTCACGGAAATGGATGGCGAGAAACAAAAACGATTAAAAGCCTTGGACCGTAAAAAGGTTCACAAAATGCATGGGGCAATTCGTCTCAACGAGCTTATTTTGGAACATTCCAATGAAAGCCAACTTGTTCTATTTTCTTTACCAAAACCACCTACACATAAGGACGATGTTGATGATTATATTCATTATTTAGAAGTTTGTTTTTAGACTTTTTTTTATAAAAAATATTTATTTTTAAGGTAATTTCTGACAAACTTCAGCGGGTACTTTTCGTTAGGGGGACTGGTGCTGAAGTTATAACAACAAGTTCTTAGATCTTAACAAAAACAATTCTCTCTCCACTTATTTCTCTTAATTAAGTGATCAACAAAAATTTTTTTATTTATTTTCCTCTATTGATTATTCTTTGTTTTTCCCACTGATTTATAATTTACCTGTGCGAATTTCTCCTTTTGACAAATAATTTATATATATATTTAACTATTTATATAGCGACCCCAAAGAAGAGTAGTTAAAAGCTACTCGTCAAAGCATATTCTCTTATAAATTTATTTTAATTCACATTTTTACATAAATTGATTTGAATTTTTTTACTGTTTTTATCTTTATAATTTCAAGAAAAACGAGAAAATTACTTTATCCAAATATAGTTAATAAAAAATTCATTTAGGTTAATAGATGGGTTTATGATAGAAGACTAAGTTATAGGTGTATGTTTTGTCTAATAATTATTTTCGAGTACTAAAATAAGTTTTTAGTTTCGGGACAGAATGAACTTTGTCAATAAAAGCAATCAATTCTTTGTATTTCCCGACAATTTCCGGCTCAAATGAACGGACCAATTCAAAATATTCAGCCAATACAAAATCAACATAAGTTAAGCCAGATTTAACGAAAAATCCCGACCCAGACTCTGCCAGCAATTTAACAAAAAGTGGAAAGACTCGTTCCGCTGCAGGCAAAAATACTTCCTTTCGAAGTTTGTCCTAAAAAATAACGATAATTTTGACAAAATATAGGGGGAGTATCTAACTAACCACATCCCCTTCTCTAAATCCCGCTTTTGCATATATGTAAGGCGCCGTTTCGTTGTAAACATCCTTGTAAAAATCAAAAATTTCGATTATTTTAGCCTTCTCCCATTCGTCCTTTCCAGCCAAACCTTTAAATGAAAGAAAAGAATAAAATATGTATCTAAATGAGTATTTTCACCAAATTTATTTGACAAATAATGAAGGATTGCGCCGCTCTGGCTTAACTGTTTTCCATCAACTTCTAACACAGGAACTTTTCCATAGAAAAATTCTTAAAATAATGAAAAATTAATTTTAAATTTTTTGATTATTTTCCCTTCCCTCCCATTAATCAATGTAATTTTATAATTTACGAGAAACCCTTACTGTTAAATGTTGCCCTTTTATTAACTTACTATTTTTCTCGGCTGGCCATTTTTCATGTGTAAAACGTATATCATCAAACTTTTCACCAGCATAATGAAAACTAAAAATTAAAAAAGGGTAACTAGGGATACTGAAATTTTTTTTACCAAATTCTTATGGCTTCACCTAAACCTTTCACATCAAAATAATAAAGTTTATATTGAACCATTTTTAAGAAATAATTGTTGTCAAGTAATGTTGTTTGAAGAAAATGAGGTATTTCTGCCTTTAGAATACTTATTTAAATAAGAGCGCGGAATTGGTACTTTCGCGTTTTTAATTGGATTGGATGGGCGGAGTAAATGTTTTACTTAATAAACCAGCTGAAGGGTGAGTAGCTGAATGGGTTTTATAGCTTTAAAATTTAGTTACGTGGGGGAACATTTGGTTACATTGTAGAGGCGCGTCCATGGACGCGCGTTGAAAGCCTGCGGCTTTAAAACTGTGCTAGGTTTATTTTTTTCTTGGAGATTTACGTTAAATTATTCAGTTGTACTTACATATTTGGTACAACTGAATAAATTTCATTCAAATTTCATTCATTAACCCTCAATTTCATATAATTTCCCAGTAACATGTCAATCAGAGTCGTCGTTTTAGAGATCAATTTTCGAAAATCAATTCTCAACAAATCAATTCTCTTTGAATTTTCAAAATTTTCGCCTGCGACGCTTTGCAATGCAATTATTATTATTTAACTTCCCCAAATCAAAATTAATTGACCATTTTATAAATTTTTGTCAGCACCATTTTGATAAAAACCGATATATGTATACGCGAATGAATAACTCAAAAGTTGGACGGATACAACCTGATACGGATAATGACCCTGATATATCCGGATACGTGCACTACTGAAGATGAAAGGGCCCGGTGCGACCCTATCACAAAAGAAGGCCGGAATCGTTTTTTCATTACATACAAGGAAAGGAAAAATGGAGACGGATGGACTCGGACAGACAAAGCACGGACGGACTCGGACAGACAAAACACACACCATCTGTGTTTTGTGTGTCTGCGCTCGTCCGTGTTTTGTGTCCGTCCCCGTCCGTGTATTGTCTATCCGAGTTCGTCTGTATTTTGTCTGTCCGAGTCCGTCTGTTTTGTCAGTATCGTTCGTTTTGTCCGTCTTCGTCCGAGTTTTGTGTCAGAATCCGTTCGTTTTGTTTGTCCGTCCATCCGTTTCCATTTTTCTTCCTTTTTTCTCCATTTTCCTTTCAATTTATTTTAATTTTGTCCGAATCTCGTCCGTGTTTTGTGTCCGTCCCCGGCTCCTGGCTAAGCAACCTCTTCGAATTTTTGCAGTTAATGAAAAAAGATTCCGCCCTTCTTTTGGTAGGGCCCCTGACCCTTGACCACTGAAGATTGAACAAATAGGGGCGAAAAACCCAAGGGACAAAAAAATGAACGAATTCGAGCGTTCATTTTTATAGCTTTCGAGTCCGCTTAAAAATCTAAGCATCGGCTGTGCTCCTGGCAAACCTTTAAGCATCTGCTCCTGGCTCCTGGCTAAGCAACGAATTTCCGTTAAATAAACAGGTCTATACTTTCATTGAATACACGGTACTTTGAGTACGGAACGTCCCAGTCCGCGTTTTCTGTCGTGTCCGTCCGTTTCTGTCCGAGTCCGTCCGTGCTCACTAAGCATCTTAATGCTCTTGGAAAACCTCTCCTGGCTAAGTAGAGTTAATAAGCAACCTCTACGAATTTCCTTGTAAAATAAACAGGTCTATAGTATATAAAAAGACAAATCATCCAATCAAGGGCTAAGTCTCAACAGATAGCAGCGAAAAGCTGCTCTACTGGATACAACCCCCTGACCAGTATTCAAGTCGTATACAAGTGATTTTGCGCCCCGACGTTACACTTGCACGAGGAGTGCTAAGCTTTTAGCAACCAACTACCAATTATAGTAGAAGGAAAATGCCAGATACTGGGGCTTGTACTACCACAAAAAGTGATATACATTTTGCCTTCCGACACCGGAGAGCGATATATATTGCTATCATGACTGGTCGGGATTCTGACTTAGAGGCGTTCAGTCATAATCCCTCAGATGGTAGCTTCGCGCCATTGGTCTACCGACCAAGCACATGAACCAAATGTCTGAACCTGCCGTTCCTCTCGTACTAAGCAGGATTACCATTATAGCAACACTACTTTTTTTTAAATATTTGCTACTACCACCAAGATCTGCCGATAATTCATCAGTAATTTCAAAAATATACCATCGTAAACTGATGACTCGCACATACTGGGAATTCCTCGTTGAAAAAAACGGTATACTATAAAAAATTATTTATTTTGTACGATTCAGAAAAAAGTCAAATCATGCCTAGGATTCATAGGACATCCTATCATCATTATCGTACAAAATTAGCAGAGCCAATTCTTTATCAGTCCGTAAAACCAATAAAACTGAACCGAAATCGTTTTCTATAATTCCATGCACGATCATTCAAGCGAAAACGCCTGTCTGAGCACTCGGATTTGTTCAAAGTAAACTTGCAATGCCTGTTAAGAATCCTGTTAAGGACTCAAAACCGAACATTACGATAAATCGATAACACCCAGAAACACCCGGAGGGTTCCAGGGTGCCGATACGAATCCAACTACGAGCTTTTTAACCTCTAGTGGCTTCAGATACATAGTCAACGATTCTCCGGCAATCAAAAATACCTTCAATGTTATTTTGTCTTTACGAGGTTTTTGTCCCTCCCGGCTGCTTACTTTCTATGTTACAATGATATTCTTATTGCATGCCGGTAGGGTTTAATATAGCGGCTTGGCCTTTCCTGTGTGTGTTGATTATAAGGAACCAACACAGAGGAAATACCGCAATAACCCACTAGGTTAGGAGAATTTACCGCCCCAGTATACTTGATCGCCTTCGAATCTTCGTCTTAATGTAGACCGATGCCAAGATCAACAGTCTTAAATATTTGCTACTACCACCAAGATCTGCACTAGTGACCTTGTTACGATTTTTGTCCGGTTCAAGACACTGCGATTAAATTGGTTTCCATCAAAGTAATTTAGAGAAATTACATAAATGGTCCCCAAATTTCTCAACATGTCTCAGTCCCGGGCAGCGACGGGCGGTGTGTACAAAGGGCAGGGACGTAATCAACGCGAGCTGATGACTCGCATTTACTTGGAATTCCTCGTTCACGGAAAAACTTAACCACCCCTTTCGGGGGTGATTTTTCCCCGAACATTTAAGGGCATCACAGACCTGTTATTGCTAAATTTTCTTCAGCGTAACCATGCACCACAAACACTGAATCATGAAAAAGCTATCAATCTGTCAATCCTAACAATGTCAGGGCCAGGTTGCCCAGGACATTTAAGGGCATCACAGACCTGTTATTGCTCAATTTTCTTCAGCGCAACCATGCACCACAAACACTGAATCATGAAAAAGCTATCAATCTGTCAATCCTAACAATGTCCGGGCCAGGTTGCCCCGGACATTTAAGGGCATCACAGACCTGTTATTGCTCAATTTTCTTCAGCGCAACCATGCACCACAAACACTGAATCATGAAAAAGCTATCAATCTGTCAATCCTAACAATGTCCGGGCCAGGTTGCCCCGGACATTTAAGGGCATCACAGACCTGTTATTGCTCAATTTTCTTCAGCGCAACCATGCACCACAAACACTGAATCATGAAAAAGCTATCAATCTGTCAATCCTAACAATGTCCGGGCCAGGTGAGTTTTCCCGTGTTGAGTCAAATTAAGCCGACAAGCTCCACTCCCAGTGGTGCCCTTCCGTCAATTCCTTTAAGTTTCAGCTTCGCAACCAACTTCCCACGGAATCGAAAGACTTTCGTTTCCGAGAAGCTCCACCAAGGCTATAAATTTCCATTGGCGGATAGATAGTCGATAACACCCAGAAACACCCGGAGCATTCCAGGGTACCGATTCGAATCCAACTACGAGCTTTTTAACCGCGCCAATAATTCGATGTATTAGCAGAGCTGGAATTACCGCGGCTGCTGGCACCAGACTTGCCCTCTGCTTGATACTCGTTAAAGTGTTTAAACTTTACCGATTCCGATGACCGTCCTCAAAGAGACCGATCTCTTCATTTCTCGTCACTACCTCCTCAAATGGAGAGGAGGTAATTTAAAAGCCTGCTGCCATCATTAATCGTAGTGACCATTTCTCAGGCCACTTCTCCGGAGTGGAACCCTTATCCTCCGTTATCCGTCACCACCCCAGGAGTCGATTATGCTCCCGTCAAGTTGATAAAGTGGACGCTTGAAAGATTATTAGTTATCCATTAGATAATCAAGATCAAGTAAATCATGGCCAGTGTAATGAGCCGTTCGCGGTTTCTCGTTAAAACGATTAAACTTATACATGCATGGCTTAATCTTTGAAATAAACACATCAGTTCAGGCAGGACCACCAAACGAAAAAATGCTCGTTTTGCCATTTCAATGATGAAACGGCAAGTCTACATCCTTCGACGAAGACGCTTAGTCTCAACAAAATACCACTTTCACTCCACCAATTAGCTAGAAGGCTATTATTCGATGGAAGTTTTTTTTGACCAAATAAATATATTTCATTTAGGGAATTTCCCCTTCATGAATTTGTAATTTGGCCTCTTGTTGACATTCTTTTTATCGCAGCGCGCCGCCGGCGCACAAGAAGCTCCGCCCAGTTTATACGGCCCAAAAAATGCGGAAGAAATGCTGTTTTGGTATTTTTGAGGTTTGCTAGTAGGTAATCGAGTGTGCTGAGTCAGAATCTAAGCTTAGAATTTGATTATTTCGAACCCCAGACCCGAATTCGACCAAGTCGAATTCGGGTCTGTCAGAAAAACGTGTTTTGCCTGGACTATTTTGGAAGTCCCTCACCTCAGTTTGCCCCTCACCCTTTCGTAAATACATATTTAAAAATCAGTCATTTTTCATTGAATAATGCCACAGGGAAAATCAAATGAAATCGAGGAAGGACTCTGAAACTCTCCGGATGTTTCAGGGTGTTATCGATTTTTCGTAATCTTCTTAAATAATTGACGGAAGCTTAAAGAATTGACGGAAGGGCACCTAAATTTTCAAAAACTTACCAAAATTCTAAAAAAGGAAGAAATCTGACACCTTGCGTACCAAAATTCTCAAAAACATGCCGAGATCGCCGAGACCGTGCTTTTACTGACCGTGTATCTAAGCACTAAGCATCGGCTTAATGCTCTTTGGATTAAACCTCTAAGCTCCCTGCTTAGCCTTCGGCTCGTAGCCAGCTCCGTGTAAAAAATAAACAGGTCTTTAGTGTATATAAAGGCAAATCATCCGATCAAGGGCTATATTTCAACAGATTGTGATGGCTCTCTGGATACAACCCCCTGACCAGTATTCAAGTCGCATACAAGTGATTTTGCGCCCCGACAGTAGACCCGCACAGGAAGTGTAGGCGTTAGCAACCAACTACCGATCATAGTAGAAGGAAAATGCCAGATACTGGGGCTTGTAATACCACTAAAAAGTGGCTTACATTTTGATTTCCGACACCGGAAAGCGATATATATTGCTATCATGACTGGGCGGGATTCTGACTTAGAGGCGTTCAGTCATAATCCCTCAGATGGTAGCTTCGCGCCATTGGTCTACCGACCAAGCACATGAACCAAATGTCTGAACCTGCCGTTCCTCTCGTACTAAGCAGGATTACCATCATATGTAGGTCATTTTTGTGGTAAAAACTACAAATTATATTAGAGGGACCTTGCTGTTTCTCAGAGATCGTTTAGTTCCAAACACCTGGCACCGCGTGAAGGCGATCTCATTCACCAGGCGCTCCTCCGCAGGGCCGGAGCCGTGCATCCTCGGAGTTTTATTAGCATATATCGGCGATGGCACTGGGAGTTTATGCCCAGGCCATGGAATTAGTCATGTGAAATCGTGTCCGTGTAAAATTCAAAAGGCATTAGAAAAATTCTAAGCCATCGGCAACAACATTTTTTACATTTTTATTCTTACAATCGTTTTCATCAACGTATGGAGCGAATATTCTAAAAGCATCAGCCGTACGAACTCTTGAAAGAGCTGTATATAGATTTCCGTGACCGAACACTTGGTGTGTAAGGTCTAGACCGACTTTATTTGCGGTTTGGCCTTGAGCCTTCATGATCGTCATTGCATATGCAAGACGAACAGGAAACTGCAATCGTCGGAACTTAAGTCCTTCTGGTTTAGGATCTTCATAATCGCTCCAACTCCTCGGAATACAAACTAATGTTCCAGCGCCAGCCACAGCACCTGTAACTACCTCAACTCTTAATATATCATCCTTCAATTCCCTTACAATCATTCGAGTCCCATTTACAAGCCCTCGACTC